ACGGGCGAGGCGCGGTGCGCTACTTACTTCAGATCGAACCGTCACTCGATCAGTCCCAGGCCCGCCCCAGCCCAGTCAGAATCAAAATTAACGCAACAGCAGAGCGCCACTGTACCGCGCACGCCTCGCCCGACACCGCCCCGCGGCAAGCACAGGGGTGCAGCCCACCGCACCGAGCTGGGCAACGCAGGGCCAGGCCGGGCCACCCCGTGGACCGTGCGAGGCCCCAACTCACCCAGCGTCGCGCTGCGCAGGCAGGTGTCAACGTCCGGTTGTACCCCCCGGCACCAGTGACCCCCCCCCGGTACACCAAACCTAGGTTCGTTGTACCCCCCGGTACACCATACCTAGTTATAATGTACCCCTCACCCTCGAGGGTAGGGGGTACATCAGCACTAGGGATGGTGTACCCCCGGGGGTACACTAGCCCTAGGGATAGTGTACCCTCCATCTCGAGAGTAGAGGGTACATCATCCCTAGAGCCGGTGTACCCCCCCACCTCAGTGGTAGGGGCTACAACAAATCTAGGGAGGGTGTACCCCCCTCTATCCCCTGGGGGGTACACTGTCTCTAGGGTAGGTGTACCCCCTGCTTTGAGGGTAGGGGGTACACCAAACCTAGGGATGGTGTACCCCCCGAGGGTTCAATGAAGACACTGGTGGTGACTTTTAATTTTACGTAAGTAACGTAAAATTTTTAGTAAACTTTGTAAAAATATTTTTAGAAGTTGACTGCAGTTTTATTTCTTAGGTTATAGATGGTTAGGTTGGGTTAGGTTGGATTGCGTTGGGATCACAACTGCGAAAGGACTTAACGTGCTACGATTCCTTTATAGATGTCGAGTCTCTCAAAGATTTTCTAGTGACCTAACGTGGCGTTCGTGGCTAAAAAAATCGCATTCATTTTAATAAAACAATAAAGTGAAATTTGAAGCACACCAAGGTAAGGAGTACACTATCACTAATGATGATGTACCCCTCACCTTTGAGGCATGGGGGTAACTCTACCATAGGGTTAGTGTACCTCCAGGGGGTTCACCATCCATAGGTTTGTTGTACCCCCTACCTTCGAGATGGGGGGAGAGGGTACATTATCCCTAGGGCTAGTGTACCCCCGGAGTACACCATCCCAAGTGCTGATGTGTCCCCTACCACTGAGGTGGGGGGGGGGGTACACTGGCTCTAGGGATGATGTACCCCCGGGGGGTACAGGTGGGTGGTACGCTGTCCCTGGGGCTAATGTACCCCCGGGGGTACACCATCCCTAGTGCTGATGTACCCTCTACCCTCGAGGGTAGGGGGTACTTTAAACCGAGGGACGGTGTACCGGGGGGTACCCTATCCCGGGGGGTACAATGGCACGGTTACAGGGCGTGGGCGCGGCGCCTCTCCTCAGGTACGGCCCCGTGCCGGCGGACTTAACACCGTGCCTGTATCATATTTCGGTCCCGTCTCGCTCAGCGTTATATCTATCTATCTGTCTATCTACGAAAGTATAGTTGAAAACGCCGCCGCACCGGGACGGGGTTGGTGCAACATCGCACTAGAGACAGGCCGGCATGCCTTCCACTCGTCTTGGTCCTCGAGCCCGGCAGGGCTAGCGTAGCGGGAAGAGTCTGCAGCAGGAAGCCGTTAAGGCCGTATCACACGAGAGGTTGCCGTTGCCGCTGCCGTCTCGGCCAATCAGAGCGGAGCAGCCGACGTTGGCGATTGCGGTGGCAAGGATAGCCGCCCGGCTATTTTTCCCAATCGCAACAGCAAACGCAGCCAATCACAGCTCTGCTTGGTGTCACGTGGTCGCGACATGCCCGACATTCTCGCGCGAAAGTCGTGAATCGTCTGCTAGTCGAGGCTTTGTGTGTTCTTGAGAAAAGGCGGGGTAGGTGTAGTTTGTAGCAGGTGCGAGCTGTTGGGGAATAAGAATATATTCACATCTACGTGAAAATATTATTGTCCTCTAACATGCCACCAAAAATCAATAGGGATTTGTTCACTGACGACAAAGAACATGAATTAATTCGCGAGGTCGAGAAGAGACCCATTCTGTGGGACTGCAATTCTAAAGTATTCAGGAGAGCAGATCTCAAACCAGCCCTTTGGGTTGAAGTTGCCCTTGCTCTTGGCGGAGCTCCCTTTACTGGTGAGTATTTGATTTGAGTCGAATTGAAATTATTTTATAACAGTAACATGTACTTGCAGGTTACGTTTTCTTGTAGCTTGTACAATATTAAAGCTTGCACAAATGTTTGCAGGTGATATGGTTGCGCACAGGTGGAAAAATATGAAAGATACTTTTCTATCAAACTGGAACAGAGTTCTGGAATCAAAGAACCGTTCCAGTGGTAACGGCACAGATGATATGCACAAGCCCAAGTGGCCCTTGTATGATAGACTCACTTTCCTGAAAGGGACTGTAGCTACAGAACCATCGTTCTCCAACATCTATGAGAATGATGATGTTGAATTGAGCACTGCTGGCACTGCTGGACCAGTGCAACCAGTGCTTGACATCAGCAGCATCAGCAACCGTATTGAAACCGATGGAACCGATAATTCTGTGTTCAAAATATACTATGATGAAGCCACCAAGGTATGTTCATACTGGACAGGAAGTGTTCAATATTTCATATTAATGGAGGTGGTAGAATACAGGTTGCTAAATTTTTTTACAGACTTGGAGCACTGAGAAGAGCGACACCAGCAATTCCAGTACAGGTTCAACACCTGCTCAGCCTCATGGAACATCACCGGTTCCATCTGCAACTGATGTGAAGAAAGGTGTACGTGACAATGAAATTTATGCAAAGAGGGGAGCGGCAAAGCGCAAGGCCTCTACCTTGATGGAAGAGGCAGTGCAGGCGGTGAAACAACTGGCTAGTCAGCCAATGCCAAATTTTAGTGAAGAGGTGGCGGACACGCCAGATACAGCACATCACTTCGGGATGTTTGTTGCTGGTCGACTGAGAGACATGGAGAGAGATAGCAGAAAGGAATGTGAGAAAGAAGTCATGTCTGTTCTGTTCAAGTATTAGGTGACATCTATTCATTTTTTCCCCTTTTAACATATTATTCTGCTTCCTATTTTAATTTACATTGACTCTGATAGTACTGTAATGAGTCTCAATTAGGTATATCTGTATCTAACTTTTTAAGAGCATTGTACTTATACACATACCCAGTAACCTCTCCATTTTGATGGTAACATATTTATGAACTGAATTTTAGTTTAGGCCAAACCTGTCCAAAGTCTTTGTTGTTGTTTTTTTGCTGTGTTTAAGTTTTCCTTTTTTTTGTATCTTTAGGCTAAACCCGTCCAAACTCTTTGATTATTTTTGTGTTTAAGATTCCCTTAGCTTTAAGCCAAATCCGCCCAAAGTCTTTGTTTATTTTTGTGTGTGTTTTTGTATTTAAGTTTTCTCTTTTTTAATCTTTAGACTAAGCCTGTCCAAAGTCATTTATTATTTTTGGGCTGAAGTTTCCCATTTTGAATCTCTAGGCCAAACCCATCCAAAGTCTTCTATTATTGTTGTGTTTAATTTCCCTATTTTATCTTAATTTCTACTAATTATTCCCATTTCTATCTGAAAGTTACATAAAGATGAAGATATTTTTATGTATTGGATATTTTTGAAGGCCACATAGCCGTCCAAAGAGTATTTGAGATTAACTTAATTTTTTTATAGCAAGAAGAATCTAGTGTGTGTTACGGGTATACTTTAAACTTAAATACTGTTGTTTTTTTTAGAGAGAGATCTATATGTTGCCAGTATTAAGAGAATCAAGCCTTACTGTGCCATTTACTTTTATGTGTATTTTCAGACCTACTGAGACAATTTGTTTCAAATTTGTCGAGACTGGTGTCAAGTGTGCCAAAGTTCCGGGTAATTTTTAAACTTGTCATGTCTGCCAAACAATTTGTTTCAATTTATGTTGAGACTGATGTCAAGTTACGGGTAATTTTTAAACTTGTCATTTGTGCCAAAACTAATTCTACTCTATATGTGACTTGAGTTTCCTTGTGTACACAGTATTACTGAAATACAATGCTTTTTTCTTAAATTAGTACAGTCATTTAATAAGGCATAAGTATTATTTGGTTGAGCACTGTTGAACAGTTATTAAAGTGTTGTTGCTGGAATACACAAAATGACAGTTTGTCTATTAACTTAACTAAGCAGGGCAGTAGGTAACCATTTGCTCCTGCCAAGGAACTGCACCTATTGTATTAAAATAAGCACACCACTGGTCCCTCACAGCCATTGCAGCATCTCCATGACGGTTTCCACATTGATTTATAAATCTCACAAGTCCACCAGGCTGCTCTAGATGGTACTCTCCTTGTCTCACTGTACCCGTCATAACGTCTTCTCTGTCAAGCATTTGTGGAGGAGCATAAATTGAGCGCCCCACCACATGAGTCCTCAGGTAATTGTGGAGACAAACAACAGCCATAACTAAATTTCGAGCATCATCAGGGTCATATCTCATGGGTGCTCTAAAAATCTGAAATCGAGCACCCATAACTCCAAAGGCATTTTCAGAGCATCGGCGAGCTCTACTCAATCTATAATTACAGAAAAAAATATGTTAGCATTCCTACACATAATGTAAAACAAACAATTCCAAAAACATATCACTCACCTGTAGTTAAATATTCTTCTGTCTAACCTATTTGAGCATGTGTCCTTTGGATAGGGCATCATTACTTTTTCTGATAAAGTAAATCTTTCATCACCAACTATGACATATGGAAACTCCTCAGCTGTCCCCCGTAGTTGTGAGGGTTTTGGTACTTTACTTCTGTCACTCTCAATGTATTTTTTGAGCGAGCACCTATTCCAGATGCCTCTATCAGAAGCCCGACCATTTGCCCCAACATCCACAAAAATGAAACGATAATCAGCATCAACAAGGGCAAGTAGAACAATGCTGAAGGTGTCTTTGTAATTGTAAAACATTGAACCAGATTTAAGTGGTGGATCAATGCGACAGTGTTTGCCATCCATGGCACCAATGCAATGTGGATAATTCCACTTTTCTTCATATTCTTGTGCAACGTTTCTCCACTCTTCTTCGCTTGAGGGAAATTTAAGAAAATCAGAAGACAAAACAGCAAAAAGCGCTCTTGTTGTTTCCTTAATAATGCCTGATATGGTGCTCTGCCCCATACGGAAACTAAGTGACAGGGATTCCTGCGTCTCTCCTATTAAAACATGAAATACAATTGTCATCACACTTGTTTACTGAAATCTAATCAGATAAATGTGTGGGGCTTTGTTCACCTGTTGCAGTGTTGCCAACCCGTACGGTAATTACGTCGGCATACGGTAAAATAGATGCGCGTACACGGAGAAAAATGGTTAGTCGGGTCGACCCGCAAGCTGGTTCCCCCAACCATCTTTGAGGGTTAATTTTCGTAAAACCAGCTAGTTGGTTGGGTGAACCAACTAAGTGGGTGGAGCTTGGTTGGTCGCAGCGACCAACACGAGTTGGTTCTGACAACCAATCTATTGGTTAAGCCTAATCGATCCCAAAAATCAAAAATGTATTTGTCATTGCCGCTTCTTTTCCTCCGTTCCTACGGACGGATCGATGTTGAGCTCATTTCTGCTGATGGGCCCTGGAGGAGGTGTTCCGTGTTGGAACCATCCGGGACTTGAACCCCGAATCTTTCCATTACTAGACCTCCGCGGTACCACCAGGCCATCGCGGCGCGTGGGAGGGAGGAGTCAGGACGACGAATACATGTCCCAGCGGCCGCGGGCGGCGTGTCGGGGGTGAAGCAGGTAGAAGAGGGAGGGGGAGACCCTGGTCGACCGAGATGTAGGCACAACCATTTATTTATGGCCACATGAACCCAGGAGTTGGTTCCCAGAACCCATCGCGCTCACCAGCTTAGTTGGTCAGGAGAACCAACCCGACTTAGTTGCGCTATCAAACTCCTGGTTCGGCCGACTGTGTTTCTGACTAAATAATGCAATATCTCACTGCATACTCTACTGAACTGTTTTGTTGCGCTGTTGGTAGCGCTTGCGACGCCTCAGCGCCTCAGCGGATCAACCTTCGTTGTGAGAAGGCGTTGATTTCGAGCAGGTTTTGACTTGTGTAGTGGGCACAGGTGGGCGACAGGTATAAGCGGAGAAATTTGATTTTGATTTCGAACTTGTTCAAGTGTAATACTGTGAAATTTTAGGGTAAGTTTCAGTATAAGAAAGAGTAGCTTAGTGGAAAATGCAGTTTGAGATCACTGTAAAAAAAATTAGAGGGAATTTTCCCTTCCCCGCGTGGCAACGCTCCTTTGCCAGCTAGTGTTCGGTAAATTTACAGACCCAAATAGCCAGGAAATCCCCGGCCCACTGG